ATGTTCTGGAGACAGAATTGGAAGAAGAGGTCCTGCACAGATCTATTTAACACTTTAAACAAGTTCTTTAAGGCCTTGTTTTAGGATTCATGTTTATTTTACTTCTTGTTCTTAATGGTGCAGCTGTTTAAAGTGGCCACTGTCTGTGATGTTGTCTTGTGCTGCCGTGTGGCACCATTGCAAAAGGCTGGAATAGTTGCTCTTATCAAGAACCGAACAGATGATATGACCCTTGCAATCGGAGATGGTAAGTTTCTTATTTGAATACTTACATTTTAAAACCCATATTAGGTTGCTAATCTTCAGGAACCTTTAGGAAATAAATTCCTTATTGTGGATTAAATATACTAGTATGTAATATCAGGTGCAAATGATGTCTCAATGATCCAAATGGCTGATGTTGGGATTGGATTAAGCGGCCAGGAGGGAAGGCAAGCTGTTATGGCCTCAGATTTTGCCATGGGACAGTTCAGATTCCTAGTGCCCCTTTTGTTGGTCCATGGACATTGGAATTACCAGAGGATGGCCTACATGATCCTGTACAACTTCTACAGAAATTCCGTGTTTGTCTTCGTTCTATTTTGGTGAGCATTATCATGTACACTTGATGGAGCTCATTAGTATATTTTCTTTTCATATATTTAAGAAGTTTTTGCACATGTAGGTTTATTAACAGAATGAGAGCAAAAACTATTAAATCTGATGCTTCAATTGTAGGTTGGAACTCATATGCTACATCAGCTGAATTCGCAAGTCTTAAAGTAATTTCATTTAATGTAGATAGTGGTGTATGTATATGATTTGGTTCAATATCTTTCAATTCTGTATCTTGAAATGTATTATTAAAGCATTTGGAAAAGCCATTCTTTTAGTAGTCGACATTGCCATGAATGTTCTGTTCGGCACTGAATATCACCAAATATATCACTATCATAAATGCAGTAAGATTGACAGGACAGAGGAATGCTGAAAATAGTATATATATCATGGACTTGCAAAGTTAACCAACTGCTAACTGCTAAGGAATGCTAAAAAGGTGCAAAGTTAAACAACTTCCATGCTTTGACTTTTTTGGTTTAGTGGATTCTGTATGTGCATGTGTATAAAGACATCTATATACATGTGTATGATAATTTCACATATACTATTCATAAGTTAATTTGGTCATGTTTTGATCAGAAAATTTGGAACATTTGTTGCATTGCCAGCAAAGTAGCAGAGTGCAGCAGATTCATTTTTCCCTCCCTCTTCTTCGTCTTCGAGTTAATATGCCTAACCAATAGTTTTTGTACTACAGGTATGTGCTATATACTGCTTACACCTTGACAACTTCGATAACTGAATGGAGTAGTGTTTTATATTCTGTGGTCTACACCGCTCTGCCAACCATCATTGTTGGAGTCCTTGACAAGGATCTTAGCAGGAAGACATTGATAAAGTACCCCCAGCTCTATATGGCAGGGCAGAGGGACGAAAGATACAACCTGAAGTTGTTTATCCTCACTGTCATGGATACCGTTTGGCAAAGTGCTGCCATATTCTTTATCCCTTATGCTGCATACAGACATAGTACCATTGATGGATCCAGCCTAGGAGACTTGTGGACACTTGCTGTGGTAATTCTAGTAAACATTCACTTAGCTATGGATGTGTACCGGTGGAACTGGCTCACACATGCATCTATATGGGGCTGCATTGTTGCAACATTTATATGCGTCATCATCATAGATTCCATATGGATGCTACCGGGTTACTGGTATGTTCTCCATTAATCTTTCAATCTTATGTTGCATAATTTTATATTTTGTAGGATTGCATATGGTATGGTAAATTCTGGTCTCAATCGAGACGCTGTTGGGATCTCTATAATGACTGCATTCTTGAAACAAGAAACACACGTCATAATGCCATAACAAACTCAATGTTGCAGAAAGAAGACACCATAGGATGCATTTTTATATTCAATGTTGAAACTTTTCAAGGTTTGCTTGTATGAGTTCTGATGCCTCAATCATTTCAGGGCCATCTTTCACATAATGAGGACTGGATTATTTTGGCTGTGCTTACTCGGCATCATAGTAGCAGGGATGGTTCCACGGTTTACAGCCAAGGCACTGACCGAGTATTTCATGCCTGGTGATATTCAAATTGCTCGAGAACTAGAGAAGTTTCAAGATGTAAATGCTGCCACAACATCAGAAATTTCAATGAGTACGTTGTCACAACAACCATAATGACAGTTCACTGAAAATTTTGCCTACCCTCTTTTTCCCTTTCTTTTTTCTTTATTTTGTTGTGTATATTACTCTATTCTTTCAGCTGAGAATCGGACTTTTTTACCGATAGCTGACTCGTCACCTATCTGGAGGGACAGTTTAGCAATCCCTCTGTTGTGTGTATTTGTTTAATTAATACCTTCCTTTTTCAAACTAAACCAATTAGCGTCGTACTCGATAAGGCAACCAACTTGACGTCATAAGAGAAAGGATTATTGCGGAGTTGCTTCAGTAGCATTTTTTGTATGAAGTAGAGACTATGAGCTTTTTCTCTACCCTTCTCTGGTTGATTCTTGGTTCATCTTCAGCACGCTGGACATCCATAAAGCAGAGACTATGAACTTATGTTGTTGTGGAGAACTGAATTATCCTTTGTTTGTGCCATTTAGCTCATCTTCACTGTACTGCAGAGGGTGTGAATTTGGACTACACAATCCGTTGATCATGTAGATAATTTGTGATGTGCAGCTCCCATTTCTTGATGATAGAAACTGCCATAGAAGATTATGTCCAATCAATGCTTCATTTGTCGCAAGCTGACGGCGTCATTGTCTTGGCATGTTACGGTCTTATCCATGTAGGACTGATATGGTTTGAATGGATGCTATACTTAAGTCTTGAATGCCTGATATCATCAATTGCAGGAATTTTGGGTAATTACTGATGCCTATTGTCCAAGGCATCTAATATCCTTCCTACCCTACTAAATTTATTTCTTAAAAAAATATTTTTATTACTAAATCTAAAATTTCAACAAATGATACTTTAAATATTATTGAATTATCATGTATACTCTTGAGATAATAATATTTAATCCAAAGCATTCAATATCGTAGTTGAGACGTCGAACAGTAGTTACGAGAACCCAATGGGACATTTAAGCCTATGTTAACGATTTAGTAATTCCATATTTTGCTTTTTCATCTTATAATAAGAAGACTCGGATGCTCTTAAAGTATTTCCATTATTTTAAGAATGAAGTAGATCGAAATCCAATTTTTGATTTTTTTTTCTATTTTATTCTCACCGACCGATCCAGATTTTATAATTACGACTAAAATGAATGAAAATTAGATAAATGATACACCATCACCTTATGAACGTGATACTATGTGTTGTTGTCTTGATGCGGTTGATCGTGGAGTCGTTACAGCTTGGTTTGGTCCCAAAAGCGTAAGCTTGTCCAAGAGACCTACGAGAGGTCACGAGAGAAGACTAGAGCGAGAAGCAGATTCGATTGGCACAATCCCAAGGTATTGCTTATTCATTAGATAGATTTAGTGTTGTCTCAAGGTGTACTATAGTCTCACCAAGGTCTCTGTATAAGTGGTTAGCGTCAGCGAATGTTCCGAACTCGACCCCTCCGATGATAAAATTAGTTGGGAGGTGGAAATAGTAAAGAAGCTTGCCCCTTTAGGCTTTGGAGTTTACTTTTATACTTAGCGGCCAATGGAGTGTAACCAACGACTAGTTAGGGAGCCCCTCAAGTCATCCAAGAGCTCATTTATGTTGACGGTTAGTGAGCATACCTCTATACAGGTGGCGTTAGGGAATACAACTACAATAGTATCGTTTGTCAAAGCTAGAACTTATTTGGGATAAGCAGGGGATAGTTCCCTATGCCAAGCATCCAGAAAGAAGGATAAGGAGAACTAGGCCAAGCTATTTGAGATTAATGCCCTAAGTAGGCGGATGTGCATGCTCTCCCAAAATCATGATTGACGGGGATGACAGATCGTTTGCGATAGATAACCCAAACGAAAGGAAAAACTGAGAGGATGAGCCTCGCTACCGAGAATTAATACACCATATGACTAACTCATGTGATCATCCTAGAGATCGCAATGGGTAGGGCTAGAGGATCATGCTCCTACCGACGACCACAGGAGAAAGGCATGAGTTCTTCTACACACGTCATCGCCCAAGTGGCAATTCACAACTGGGTGAGTCAATAGTCTAATACTTACGTTATTACTTTCCCTGTCATTATATAAATGACATAATATCGTTTATATAATGAGTAATACATGTAGATTTCACTAGACGTGAGACTAATACATGTAGATTTCACCAACATGCCATGAAAATGACAACATTGACTCATGCACTAACCAAAAATGTCAACTAATTTTCATCACCAACTCCAAGCACAGTTCAAGACATCCAGCATAGATTTTGCTGGAACACGTGAGTGTTTAGTTGCCATGACTACTAGAACAAAATGATAGGCTAATAGGTTAAATATGTATGATCTATAAACCTAAGCTTTTCAATCATAAAGATAACCGATTATAATGTTGATGGTCTATACAAACTTCATGAGCAACTTTTGAAGAATAGATCTTCGACTCATAGTAGACAAAAAAATATGATGGTTAGAGACACCATATCTTTCACACAGCAAAACCTACAAAGAAAAAGAGAAAACAGGGACCATTGGCTGCTTCTTTTCTTGGAGAAGGAAACAGAAGAACAAAAATTGATGTTGGCTTTCTCTCGTGTTGGGAAAGAAAAAGCTTCTCTACTAGAAACTGATATCTTTGATTTCATCTAGAAAAAAAAGGCAGGCAATTACTACCACCAAACCTCCTACAGAAGCAGGCAAGGAGTTTCCACGAGATCATCAGGGCAAAGTTGCTCTTAATTGGATGCACCAAGCATTCCAAACCATCTGAAGTGAGGCTCAACTGGTGCAAACAGGTTCCTGTGAACATCCAGGTAAAATAAGTTCCAGAATTCTACAGGAAACCACGAGGCAGATACTAAGAGACCTTACTTGTGATGCTGTCAGGTCCAGAAGAAGCAATGTAAGAAAATGAGATGAAGAAGCATCAAATTAATGAAAACATGCAAATTGCTATTACTTAAATACTTAAATACTCCAGATAATAACAAATCTGATTGAAGGAATTGTGTACCGTGTTGTTTGAATGTCAAGACTACGAGTATAGAAGGTAAAACAAGAGAGCATGAACATCCAGGACTTTTGAGGCCAAGCAATTAGCTTGATATGAGTTGCTGTGAAGCAAGAAGCTTTACTACAACAACCTGCTTACTGAACAAAAGATACATAGGCCAACTCATTCAACAGTGAATAGGTCAATACATGCTACATTGATGAAGTATGTGGAAATGAAAATTGCTTGCTGCTATATGTTCAAACAGTGTCATGATGACACAAATGTCCAACAAACGGAATCTACCAAGATTTAAATGCTCATAAAAGAATGTAGACTCTAAGTCAACTAATGTTCGTAATTTTACTGCATCAGGTAAAGCTATTATCTTTGTAAATAACAGGCATGCCACAAATAAGTAACCACAAACCTGCAGCAGTTCAAGAAAAGCAGAATTTGTCACCGGTAATGAATGAAAGCAGGACTATTTGGAAAGTGTCGGAAAGAAGAAACAAGCAGCTTTGAGGGCAGTTTTATGCACAGCAGAAAGGCAAGCAACAGAAAAGAATGCTACACTGGTTATCAGTAACCAAGACTCAAAACATAGTTCACTAGCAAGCATTGGAACCAAGGTTGGCACAAAGGCAAAACAGATGACAAAATACTTGGATTGGATCAATGAGGCTTCGAGAAAGGCTTAAACATCTGGATATAGCACCTACTGAGAGATTTTGCAGGTATACCATAACAAGTGAAGCAGTAATCATTGATATAAAATAACAATCAGGCTCTCTTTTCCTTTAGGCATGCAGGAGTGAATATCTGACTTTCTTAAAGGAAAGAGAAAAAGAATAATTTTCCAATGATAAGCACATTTCTAGATCATTGATATGAAATAAATAAGCTAATGTACTGCTGGAAAGAAATCTTGAAGAAAAAAATTCCGTAAAAGAACATTAATGTATATGTAAAATTTTTGGGTAACATTAATCTTGAAAGAGAATTAATATTATAGAAAAATCATTTGTGATATAAATGTACTCTAGGAAATTTCTGACTAACTTAAGAAGTGGAACTCCACATACTGTCAATGGTTGGCCGACATTTACAATAGACAAGTGACATATTCCAGATACCATATCTTCCTTTGCAGGTGGTCAGAATCTGCATTATTTGGGAACAAATAAGACCATTTTATCCCGGGAGAAGATTCCAAATGGCAACATAAAAAGAATGCCTACACTTTATATGTGAACAAGGAAAAAGAGGTTAAATTAAAGTAGCAAATGCCACACAGATATGATGGGACCAAAAAGCTCACCTCCTGATGCTAGTAAAGCCCCTGTATTACGGATGACAAATATTCAGGCTACATGAAATGGATTAATCAAAAAGAGATGAAGACTCTGAATTAGTAACACATATTCTTCATTAATCAGAGGAAAATCATTGATACCACTTAGGTTCATACAGATTCTCAACTGATGTCTGTCACAAAGTCAAACCCCTAAAAAACACAAAAAGGTCAAGAATAACTTATAAAGATTCAGACCTTTCATAACTGAAGCATGCTTTTCTGTGATAGTTATGAACTGAATCTTCCATTCTGGACCTGTATGCCATTTTGTCAATTCCTGACCGCATCACAGGAGAGTCAACAAACACTATTTCTTGTAAGAAACTTGCACCAATACCACTCTCTATTATGTACAACATGAAATTTGGGACTATAATAAATTATTGATGAGTCTGGCATTTTCCTATGGAAATTTTGAAAGCACTGGTAAACCTAGGACAAGCTTTATCTTGGATGTTACACTTATAATACTTATAAATGCACATGAAGTTGCCATGTTGAAGCTACAACCCGATGCATCCTTTTTTGCACAGATATGAAATAGAACCCAGAAAACTACCAAATAAATTCTCTTATGTGCTCTCCTGGAAAGAATGAGAGCGGGATAATGCTGCAGGATTTGCCTGCAAAAGATGTGCAGCATCTGACGTCCGAGCTTTACTTTCGGCCTTGGATTTGAGAGGTTCGAAAATACCAACTTCTGGCTTAATACCAAGAGTAGCCCATATTGAGCTTTTTGCAGCCTCATCAGGATCATCTATTCTAAGAGTTTTAGGAACCCATAAAGACTTCCCTGTCTTCTCCTCACCCTGTAAGGTAGCATCTCTTGAATGTTTACCCAAGGTTGGGGAACCATTTCCTGAAGATCCGCTATTGCTCGTAGAAGATGATCTATGTATCCCACTATTGAAACCAAGCCACGGCACATTCCACGCTCCATTAGGCCAGCTGGAAATGCATCCCCAAGAAGAAGCTGGCATGAACGGAAAAGGAAGCGATGGAGGACAAAAAGCAGGGCCTCCCACCATCAATGGGGGGTTCCATGGAACTGGACTTGGATTACCATTTTCTGGTCTTTGAACAAATTCAGGCGAGCATCTCACTATAGGAGCAACATTAGTCCATCCTGGACTCCAGGGATAAGCCCATGGAGCCACAGGATAACATGAAAACTGAGGCATTGTTGTAACTCCATTACAATATCCCTGCATGCCATTCTGTTCGATTTGGGTTGGATTTCCTGCTAATCCATTTTCAACAAAATTGGAGCCATTTACAGAAGATGCACATGAGGGCCCCTCGTTTTCCCCATATAGTATAGAGCTGATATCACCATTTCTGTTTTTCTCTCTGATATTGAGTGCAGAGGCCATGGATTCACAAAGAGGCACCTCTGTCCCAAATTTAAGAACAGTTCCATTTCTGATCAAAGGTCTTGTAGGGGCAGAAAAGCCACAAGGAAGAGTCAGATGATGAGGTAAATCAGAAGTTTCTAGTCCAGCAGATTGCAATCCATCTGATGGCAACATTATCTGACGGACTTGTGATGCAGAGTGCTTACTTTTACGCCTTCCAGCACCAACAGGAACATTCCTTGTTGTTCCCCCAGCAGTCCAATACCTCTGGCAATTCTTACAGAAGTGTCTAGGTTGGTTAATGTTGTAGTTGTTATAATAACAGAATTTAGTATCCATACTGTTACAACGAGGACATGGCAGAATTTTATCTGGTTTCCTGAGGACCTTTGCTTGAGCAGAGCCTTCAGCATCAGACTTGTTATGTTCCTCTCTGGAATCTTTGTCATGATCATTTTCATTACTACTGTTCAAACCAATGGAACAAGTTGGACCATCCTCATTTCTTTCACTAGAAGCAACAGCTGTAATATTGTTGACTTCCATGTTTGTTACTTCTTTGCTTGCATCCTGAAAATAATACAACAAAATAAAAGATGACATTTTTTAGCTGGAATGCTTGCATGCACAGTTGAAGGAAATATGACAGGCAGCAACACCAACATCTTAACCTTACTGTCAAGATTACAATGGCTTGCTCTTCCGTGTATACCATGTTTCTGAGAACAACCTTAGCTAGCATACAAAAATCGATGCATCATGGATTCTTGTTCAAGTTAAATATTCTATTGGCATGTCACGATTATTTTTCTAGACTGTGATGCCATGAATCATCTCCTTTCATTTTTATTCCACGAAGCATTCCCCCTACTTTTCCTTTCTTAAAATCCTGATAGATTATTCCAACTAATCAATTTGGTAAGGCCCCCAACATGAAGTAACTGAAAAGCTTTCCCTTTTCTTTCCTCAAATAAGTTATCTAAGAAACTGCCAAGTCACGCACAAAACTAATTAATGAGAACACTAAATGTTTTGTTGTGACTAGTTACAAAACCTCAAGCAGAACATATTTTATCATTAATTTCCAACCATAGATCACATATAGCAAAATCCATCGCTGAAGGTTCTAAAGTAACAACAAGTATATATCATGCAAGCAATTCATTAAAGAATAACCAATTTATTTCTATGAAACATGTCTAATAGAAGGTCATTTTGTTATGTTTCACATGATACTTTCAAGCCACCTATTAAGAGAGAAAAGAAGGTAATTAAAACATGTGTATGATCAACTTTACATGCAAAACTGCCCTATCAAATTAGATATTTTGTTCTTCACCCTCACACAAAGCAGAGTTTTACCAACAAAATGTAGTGTTTAAGAACATACATACATTACAGTATAAAATTAGAGTTTTACTCAATTTACTATCAATTAGCTTTGACCGACTTTGCAAGACTTTATCTTGATATTTTCAAGCAGTCTAGAGGCATTTTAATGATACTAGATCTTTAATAGATGTAGCACTGAGATTTAGAGGAAAATTCTGCTTGTGTCAATATATATCAGCTCAAAAAGAGCCAACAGCAATAATCCAATCTAAAGTTGTCAGCAAGTGGTCAAAAGTCCCACAGTAAGAAAGGCACCAGATAAAATGTGACTTTCTGATTCTTACCTAAATCATCAAGAACGAGAACACTATTCTTTTAGAAGATAAAGAATACTGCTGATGAATGACTATTCTTTTTCAAAAGCTTTGTATACAGATAAACAAATCACAAATTTTAGAACCGGACTTTGGATTAGTTAGCAAATTTTCAATAGGTTGACCTCTTTCTGGCTGACACTAAAATTCCCACAGCGTTGGAGGTTTTCTTCCCCATCACCAAACTTGAACGATATTTTTCTTTTACTTAGAAAAAACAACAAAATTATACCGACGACCATTCCGCTGAGCCTTAAGCTGGCTCTCTCTTTTGGATAAAAGTGCCTCTGTAAACAAATGACAAATTATCATTTTAGTGATGCCAAAATTAACATATGCAATGAAGCCACAACAAAAGCCTACAAACTAATCCCAAAAAAGTTTTAAAGACGTTAATGATAACTATTTCCGGCTTAGATTTTTAAGCAAAATGTTCTAAACATGTCAAAACGGAAACGAAAGATCGCCTCTTCATACCAAGTAATCTAATCCAAAAAAAAAAAACAAAATCACAAATCCGGTGACTCAAAACCCCAATCTAATCAGAGTTCACCCGATAGATAGCTTATATCGCAATCAACGACCAAAAGCAGGACAAATAAGTCAATTTTACTTGAAACTTTGCGCCACAATCAGATCATCGAACAAAAATTCCCAACAGTAGATAACCACAAAAGCCTAATAACCATGCAACAAGCACGCGTTCATCCTTCTAGAAAACGTCTCTAACGATTCGATTGGACGCCAAACCCTGTAAGGAAAAGAAGCTAAAAGAAGGGGGGAAGGGGCTCCAGGAGTTCTGTGCTCACCGGATCGCCGTCATCCGCCTCCGTCGCTGGAGTTGCATCGGGAATCGCCGTCTGCTCAGCCTCCTCTTCCGGAGGCGGCGGTAGGCTCTCCGGAAGCGGGATGGTCCTTCCGAAGAGCTTGATCGCGGGGTCCTTTGCGTCAGACATCCCCTCCCATCCGACCGATCGCCACTCCTCTCATCAACTTCGACACAGACTCGGATCGCATGGCTTTGTTGTAATGGTTCTCCGAGAGAGAGAGAGAGAGAGAGAGAGAGTGCGTGCGTGCGTGTGTGGGTACGAGAGAGGGAGGCTTTGTGAGCCACGAGTTCTCGAAGAGGGAGATAGCGAGGGTGGGTGACGTCAGCCGACGGAAAAGGGCGACGAAAAGGGAGGAAAAAGAGAGGGGAAAAAGAAACCAACCCCCCCGGCCTTTCTGTTTCAATCAAAGAGACGCCACAGTCGCCTCCCAACTGTGTCGCCCCAACGCGCCATCTCCTCCCTCGATTACATAGTCAAAGGCAACGTGCGGTCCTCCGCGCGGGTGGGATCGGGGACGACTACCAGGCGGCGTACCCAACTCTTTCTTATATGACGGTGTCACCTGGGTCCCACCTTTTTCTTCCGATCATAATGCAGGTAGGTCGGTTGGATCAAAGCCGACCCCACGAGCCACCCTTAAACCTTCTGCCCACGTGTCACTATTTTGCTGCATTCTGAGACCGCGTAAGACTTTCAAACGTCTGACGTGGATCGACAGCTAATTGTATTTTTTAGTATACGCATGAGACACCCGCAATTGGATTAATCGACCCAGTCTTCGTTCGACTGGTATTTTCTTTTCTTTTCCTTTTAATTTAGAAGAACAAAACACATATTTTATTGGCCACGCGTTCGGCCGTCACAAGGCGATGGACCGGATCGCCACCGATGGTTCGTCACGTGGCCCAAGCGATGACATGGCAAATAAAATCCACCTATTATTTTTTTTTGTTTTGAGGCAATAATATGCTGCCAAAGAACATGTCTCTTTGTCGAGCTCTTCCAACCACTTAACTCGTAAGTTTCCATTATAGAGACAGGGGAATCCGAACCCCTTACGGTGGCGGTCAGGGTCGCAGTATCGACGAAAAAATTGGGGAATCAGTAGTGACAGAAGGAATTAGAGATAGGGGCTGAAGATGATGGAGAATTCTCATCCTCAGCACTGAGCCATGGTGGGACTCATAGCCATGAAGTCTTGGGATTGTGTGGATTAAAAGAAGGCACACTGAAGCCACATCCTTAGCTCGTAGCTTTTATGATTAAGCAAGCAAATGAGGGCTGACTCCATCTAGGAGAAAGAGAGGATCATGATGCACGCATCCTAAGTGTTGTGTTGGTCGCCCCTCTGCCTAAAGCAAAAGAGAAATGGCACTTTGAATCTTGGATCACAGGAAAGAAGTAAAATGAGGTAAGAGGAAGAACAAAGGGAGTCCGACTGAGTCAGACAACAATATCATTCTTTATGTGGCTTCCTGAAAGCTCTTCGATAAAGTAGGTTTGGTTGGGGAACTGTTCCAGTCGCTTATATTCTTCATGGTCAGTGACATTAACATGAACTTTCTCAGGCCACTACTGGAAGAAGAATCATAGTGTGCTTCTTTTGTTTAGAAATAAATGGAAAGTGGAAAGTACCATGAACCATTTTCTTTCTTTTTTGCTCAAATCATGTTTGCTTAAAACATAAAAAGTGTGACAAACACAGGAGACTTCCATCAATGTGAGGTCAAGATTTTCTAAGAGCATGTTTCTTTAGAAAATATTTGCTAAAACTGTTGCTTGAGAAAAAAAAAATATAGGTATCACATTAAGAAAGTTATAAAAATCATTTACTTCATAAGTTATGTAGAAATCTTACAATGATAAAAGAAAAAAAAATGACACCACTGAAATCCCAAATAATGTTTATAAGGAGGTCAATCTTGTGTACTTAAAGATTTAAAAAACTAAGAAAAATAGCACCTACTTGTTTCTATGGAAGATGTTCTTGCCAATGAATAATTTCTACTTGATATTTTCCAGCTCAGTGAAATCTTATAGAAATATATAGTGTTTTTGTGTATGGTTCCAGGCTTCACATTACATCAATTAGTTCCTTTAAAGAATACCAAAGATTACCTTACTCTTCAATCTCCTCCTTGTTGATGATAGTTTGCTTTCTATATTTGTGAGGATTGAGGATAAGGGCTTTCAAGTGGTTTCATATATTATTATTTCTGTGAGGAACTGAAGAACTTAAGATTCTTTCTTTTTCATGTAAATTATATTAATACTTCCTTAACATGTTATACAATATCGTTCGATTAATATGAGCATGACAAGTTGCATATGTAAGAACTGCAGCTGTACATTGGAAAATTTTCATATTGGTTGAGAAGACAGAGCAAAAAAGATGTCTTTTTTCTTCTTTGTTTTTCCAACTTAAAGCAGTCATATTGTTTCGTAGTGTGTCAATATGCAATCTACAGCAGGCATTTCAGTATATGGACCCTGCTTATGGTGGTGGCATATGTCACTCTGGAATATATTTGCACCTCAGTCTGTGGAGTAATTAAAACTTCTAAGAAAAGATTTAGCTTAATCCAAACAAACCACAAAGCTCTGCAATCTCTTATCTTCATGATGTTTGTCCACACCTCCTGTTCTGCATTATGCAGATCTCTGGTTTAATTATATATGTCATTTAGAATGGTCTTGTGGACATAAATCACCAGTACTTGCAAAATGTAACTTGAAATTAGTCTAAATATTTTGTCAGTACTGCTACTACTTCATGCCATAGCATGATGCTCTCCTTGGTACTCCTCACTTGTACATGCATCATCAGTTTCCTTCCCACTGTCTCATGGAATCAGGTTCATGTTGTAGCCATTACTTGTTTTTAGCTGACTGGGATGATCACTGAAGAGAGAGCTCACAATTTTTAGCATATACAGTGTAGGCATGATTGTATTGGTCGGAGACAACATTAGAATTTTCATATCTTCATCCCTCTTCTATAAGCAACTTCAATGCCATAATTTAGCTCCAGCCGAAGCCATTCAAGTCAAATTTGCTGTCTCTGTCACCTTCATTGTCTTCATCAGCGTTGAGATCTAGTTGTGCTGTGTGGCCGGGCATTCCAAAACTATTTGATTGCTTTCCTCTGTCCTGTTGACCTGCAACTCTCTTGTTGTTTGGATGCTCAAGAAACATGTGCTCTTCACTTCGTTCCTTCTGCTGGGCCTCAGAATCAGCTCCTCCTCCTCTCTGAGCCTTGGAGCTTACAGGATGCGTCGCGAAATCCTGGACTGAGAAAGTTGTCCTCTCTGAATCCCCTAAAATGGATGAGGGAAACGTCTTCTGGTCGTTCAGATAGCACCATGCAGATTGAGTGGTTTCAAGCCTCGTATCCTGATGCATCTGCTGCCTGCAGAGTGGTAGGCCGCCACCGTATGCTCTCAAACTTCTGTGGAAATTAGTCATATCTTGATCCTTTTGTGATCCTTCAGATGATGTCAGGCAACTCTCTGCTGAACAATCAGCAAGTTGGGATGGATTCACTTGTAAAGTGTTCGGATTGCGGATTTCTTCCAGACCTGGAAATGCATTGCTGAAACACTCATTTGAGACTTTGGAGACCAGTTCAGATAGTTGAACTTTGGCAGCTTCCAGTCCTGGAGACCCCAAATTCTGCTTCCCAAGTGTCTCCTGAGCTTTCTCCAGCACAGACTGCAAGTACTTGCCCTGTGCCTCAATTCGGAGTTGCAAGTGCCTTTGAACCTTCAACAAATCCATTTCCAATGATATGTGTCAATTATCATGCTGCAGAACTCCAAACTATTCTGAAGCTATCAACTAATAGTGATAAATATTATTTATTTTCCTAAATAACTTAATTTAAATGAATCCCACAATCGTGTCTGGACCTTGTTAATATTAATCTCACATGTTATCATCAATCTTTTAATTATTTTCCAGTTCATAAAGGTTTTATAAATATGAAAAGAACCAGAAAACAAGTATGATTTCACCTCTCTTTCAGAGAAATACTGAGTCCAATTCTGAGTTAGCTTAAGAATTCCATGCTTCCATATAAAAGTTGTTTTTTTTATGGTTTTAAAAATATATGATACACATCCAGGATAATATTTTCCAAGGTTAATTTAGTTGCATCCCACATATTTACCTAAAAGATTTTTTTTTTTTTTTTTGCAGTTTGATGGCTAGTAGCACTTTTGCAGTCGATGTATAATAACATCAAATTTTGATTTTGTGCTCTCTAATATAATTGTTGGAAGTTTCTCAAGTACATGAATTCAAATAAGGTCATGGTTTTAAACAAAAACAAGGGAAACATGTAATAGAAGTAAGAGTCCAGTGATCGTCACCTCGAGCTGTTCTTGTAGCCTTCTTTGGACTTCAATTTGCATTTGAAGTGCTTCATTTATTGGAATGTTTCTGAAATGAACACTCTGTTAATGGAAGTTTATCATACATGCTTCATGGTGTTGCAATGTTTATAGCTGTTGTCTCTTACTTGTTTGACTGGGGAATGATGTTTGTACTGCCCAACAACAATCCATTGCCCTCAGCTGTCCTCCCTGCTACTAGCTTACAACCTGTAGCTGCAAGATAACAAGTCTTAATTTGCATTTCCTTTTCCTGGTTTGAGAATTCAGAGCTGGATGCTGCTCCTTACCAATCTTGGCACTTCCACTGCTTGCTTGAGCCTGGAGATTTTTGCTGAGCCTGTACTTCTGCAATCCCACAAGGGCGACTCAATCTTCAAATGCAACAAAATAGAAACAAGAGAAGGAAGTGGAGGAGAAGAAGCAGTATTCAGTCAGGACCTGAAGATGGCTTTTCAGGTGATACAGTGTTAATCCAGGGATGCCCATAAGCCTCATGACCGACTTGGGTGTAGCCTCTGCAAGATTGACGACCTTAAATTAGCTCTGAAGGCAAGATGCATCTGCCTTTGATGAGAATGCTTGATATACTCACTATCTGCACCACCAAGTTGATCGACTGCCTCTATAAATCTCTCATGGAGCTCAGGTGTCCACTTCAGCCTAGGCTTGGCATCAGTAGATAGAACCAGCCCCGACTCCTCTGGTATCCTTCCTCCTTGCAACAACAAATGCCTCTCTGCGGGAAATGCTGTCCTGGAAGAAAGGATGTTGTTGTGGCCTCCTTGTTGATGTTGATGATACATCTTCTGCTTGGGAAAGAAAGAACAAGCAGTGAGAAGCTAAGACAAGTGGTCGATCATAAAAGAACAGACAGAAGCAATCTCCTTTTCCCTTTGTACCTTCTTACCTTCCTTTATCCTTGATCTAGCGAGTACTATCCATTTCAGAGTTGTGCGTTGCTGGAACTGATT